AAAGACCTTGTTTCCATTTTTTTCCTCTTCTCATATTTTTTCCTTTCCCTTTTTTCCCTTCCCCTACCCCTCCCAATTCCCCTGCTCTTTTAGACCTTTTCTTCCTGTTACACAATATCCAAACTTGGGACCTTACACCTGCAAGGCAGGCAGCAGAACCACTGAGCTAAATCCCTGGCCCAGGATTATCTTTTTAAAAGAGCTTTATTCAGAGCCCAAGAGGTTGGCCGGATCCCACAGAGCCAGTTGTAAGGCAGTTGAGAGTGATTTTTTGCCCTCCAGACTCGTTTGATGGAGCTGCACCGCCAGTGGGAATTGCTTCTGGAAAAGATGAGGGAGAAGGGAATCAAACTGCTGCAAGCCCAGAAGTTGGTGCAGTATCTTCGGGAGTGTGAGGACGTGATGGACTGGATCAACGACAAGGTGTGTGTCCAGCTGGGTGGGATGCAGAGAGGCAGGGTGGGCCTGCTGTCTCAGCTGCTCTCCAGCACCTCCTGTGCTCTGCCTTGGGAGCCTGGGTCCCAGGTACTGTGAGGGTGCTATGAGAGCCCTGAAATCAGCAACTGCACACAAAGCTGTATCCACTGAAGCCCCTGCCTGGTGCCTCTGTTGCATACTAAGTCTCTGAGAACCTCTGCTCCCAGCTGCTGGCTGGTGACCCCACTCTGTTTCCTGCTTGACTAGGAAGCAATTGTGACTTCAGAGGAGTTGGGCCAGGACCTGGAGCATGTGGAGGTTCTGCAGAAGAAATTTGAAGAGTTTCAGACAGACCTGGCTGCTCATGAAGAAAGAGTTAATGAAGTGAACCAGTTTGCTGCCAAGCTCATCCAGGTAACTGACAGACTGCTAGTGCTCCTCGCCGCATCTCCTGTCAGCCCTCCAGCATCTCAGGGTCCATATTTGCTGAGCGAATCTTTTTATAAGTGTGTCTGAGTTTTGTTTAGCTGTGCGGAACACCCTGTACTGATGACTCCTGAATGGGAATGTGCTTTTGAACTGTGGCCTTGGGCAGGAAGGGCAGAGTTCATTTGATCTGTTTCTTCCTCCCACTTTTGGGCAGGTGGGGTGAGGCTTTTGCTGGGCTGCTGGATCTGGGCCTCCAGGTTTCTCAGACGAGGGTGTGGTAGGGAGTGCCTGCTTGGTATTGGCAGCCATGCACTGGGCCTTTTGCTCCTCCTAACCTTTCCTTTTTTTTTTTTTTTTTTGGTACTGGGGATTGAACTTGGGT